TCTCCTCTGGTGGCCGTTGCTTGGGAGGAGAACTTGGAAGCTCGTCCCACAATTTGTAAATCAGGTCTCTGAACTGCTTGTTTGCCTGCTTGAACTGTTTCTCGCCCAAAGCTGCAACATACAGCACTGCACGGTTCCCTGCAAAGATCTTCTCGATGCACGCGCGTCCAAACTCGACATACCTGGGCGACATTGGCTGAGTTTGTGGCTTGAGGTGCCACCTGCATGCTACAATCCAGCATGTTCAAACAAAACAATCAGCGTGCATAATTCCCAATCCATATGTTTGATTGCAAATGCGCTGCTCGTTTGCGATGACATCGATCCAAAAAACACGGTCTGAATCTGCAAAGGGCATGCCGTCAAGCAATCCATCAATGATATGTTTGGAGCAATCAATGCCTTTCCTGGGTTCAAGCATGAATGAACGCATTGACAGGAACTTTCTGGCAAGTTCACATAAAGTCAAAGCATATGTTGAAAGGACCGCTAGAACAGAAATGCTGCCGAAGATCTGCTCAGTCCGTGCCGAAGCGCCGAGCTTGCTGTCAGGGTCGAACCCTTGCATGTCAGCTATTCGAACCAAAGGGCAGGGGCCGATAAAGCCGTCTCGGATCCCTCTCGAATCTGCCCAGGCAACCTCTGTAAAGTTGCTGTGAAACACTGCCAGGCAGGTTTGAGACAACTGCCTGCCATCGGGAACCAGGCTTGCTAAACAACACCTGAACAGTATTGTTCAAGGTCATGGAAGCCTTCAGGAAGGAACTCTCCAAAAGGTGCTTGTGCTTGAGAACTGCACTTGGATTCGTCTGTGATTGGAGAATTGGATACTGCACAAATGCAACGTTCGAATTGCTCATGGTGAGCAACTGACTCATCGTCGAGGTAGCCTGCGTGACCACGGTAGCATTTGCAGGCCAAACGGTAGTGTCGAAGCCCACCACTACAAACCTTGAGCAACACATGCCCAAACAAGTGACACAGTAAAGCAAAAATCATCAAGTGATACTGTTGATGTTTGCTTTGGACACCTAGTTACCCATGCAACAGTAACAGCTGATAGACAAGCAACTCCTTGCCAGGGCGTCCTCGATACTGTTCTTTGAATTTGAGAAAGCCATTCACCACATTGCTGTAATTTTCGTCCGCGGCAATCAAGCAGCAATGCTTGCCCATCCAATCAGAGACAAAGTCCTGCCCCTTCCTGACATCAATCCAGGAAAGGAACAGTTAGTTTCTGATGTCGCCGGCAACCTTAAACCAGCATTGTTGTGGTTCATGGAGCACCCAAAAGTCTTGAAACACCATCCACATTTATGTGCAAAACACATTGAATAAGGCGGATAAAGGCTCTTTTGTCGGTCCCGGATGTATTTCAAGTCGCGCGCGTGAGCCAAAGCACTTTCACCCTTGTCTGAGAAACGGTTTTCCAAGATCTCCATATCACTCTCGATCTTTGCCATGATCGACTTGAAGTCTGCCTCTCGCGCGTTTCTCTCAAGCTCTTGTTCTTTTGATTCCCGGGCATCCCTCTGGGCTTTCTCCACTCGAGCAACGAAGGGCCTGCCAAAGGACACCCATGGAATTCAACACCTAGGACTTTGAAGCATTTTCTGAAAATCTGACAGGTCATTTTCTGAAAATTTTCAAAAACACAAAACAAACATTAAAAGTGAGCCTGAAAGAGCCAATGGCTGAAACATCTCCTGGGGCGGAACTGGGTCTCCAGGGCGTGACTGATGTCAGGATCGAGATATCCTGAAAAGAACTGCGATTTGAGGCTCTGCTCAGCCTCCTTGTAGTCACCAGCTGGACTGATTCGCTCGAACAACTTGAGGAAGTGGATGAAGCCGCTGCAGCATTGCAGCTTTGCAAGCGCCTGCTGGTAAGTGCATGCCTTGCGCAGGGCTGTAGGAGTTGAATCGTGATCGGCCTCCAACCTCTTGACCAAGAGCATCACCTTCCGGATTTTGTTGACACACCAACACACAGAAAGACAAGTGGAGAAACACATGTCCAAGAAATGGCAACACTTTAACATGGCCAGGGCACTACATCGTCAGTGTTGCGAAGCTCTTCTCGCCAATGCTCTAAAGCCGCAAACCCGCAGGTGAACGATGCGTTCAGTAGGTCACGGCCAATCACTTCATGGGACAAGTATCGATTCATGCCCCTGCTTTTCACAGATTTCTCAAGATAATCTACTGCCGGCTTTGGAATCTTGCACATCAAGTTCGAGACAGCTTGGCTCTCTGCCCGTCCAATCCGGAAAGCTTTCGCTATCGAATTGGAGGATTCCCATTCCTGCGTTGTGGTGAAAACAACATTCTACATCAACGTTTACAGGACACAATACCCAAACAACACTCCAAGATTGACTCCAGTGCGTCATGGACTTTTCCAAGCTAGGCGCAATCCCTGAACTTGACAAGGGATGGACAAAAGGGTGCTGGAAACAAACTCGATCAACAGTGGGGGAACATGAAACATAGTCCTGGAAGTGTTGCTCAGGCCCTGATGCGCCAGCACGCTGTAGAATTTGGAGTTGCCTTCTGAAACTGAAGGCGTTGGGTTTCACTCGTGTGGCGGTTTGAATCATCGTCACACCTGGCAGGCAAATTGCCAACACTCGTCAACTGCATCCGCTTTGGAGAAAACACATGTAAGCACTGCGCACCTCTGCTGGCATAGACCTGGGCACGGACATCCTTGAAGGAGGAGAAACTTGCGTAGAGTGTTCCAAACGATGCCTCCCAGGATGCCGACAAAAAGAACAACTTCGCCAGAAAGCCGACTTAGCTCAAAGCGTTACTGTATATATATATATATAATGCTTTGACACACTAGGTCACAACCCTGTGGGAAGTATGTGCACTGGGGTTGCGCCTTCAAAGAATGCTCGGACAACTCGTGTATGCCCTGGAGACATGTGAGGAGCATCACTGACCTTTTCCATCCTTTCGTATACCCCACCGAGAACGGGGGCAGCAGGGTGCCTTGGATGAGCTTCGCAAAGTGGGACGGCAATATAGTTAAGGATAGCTAAGGAAGGCATGATTCTAGAACAAAGCGGCAGCATCAAAACCTCTACCCATACAATCAAACAGTCAGGACACCGTCCAAGGATGCCATCTCAAAGTACTCACGCTCCAAAAATTCTTTGGGAATCTTGCGCACTGCAAGCTTCTCACATCCAGGCTGGTCTGGGTTTGACAAAAACCTGAGATAGTCAAGTTCAAACACTAAGAAACCATACGAAACATTTGGAATCATTTGGACTCAATTGAGAAGCCCCTCTGTCATCATGAGCTCCAGCATCATGATGGCAACTTCAGGCTCAATGAAACTTGAACAGCCGGTGTCTCCCCGAAAGGACAGCATATATGGCCGCAAGTGGGTCGCGTCTTGATAGGATGTGGCGTAACATAGCCTGAATACTGAACAACTTTGAGCACGCACACACGCACACATACACAAAAATAGTTCAGCGCCGACTTCAGTGCTCTTAAAGCGCAAAACTGGGGTCTTTGCTGAGGGTTGGCTGGACAGAACCCATCTATCCACCGTGCAAAGTTCGCCAGCTTCTCCTGCAAACTAAGGTGTGCCAGCAGCTCTCTCACGGCAACCGCATCAGCAAAACTTCCGCGCAAACATTTGCTGCACAAACATCCGATACCACAGGCCACCAGCTACAAAACAACACCGTTGACTGGCCTTTGTGTCATACACCTGTTCCAGGTATGCATCCGGCCCACCAGCTGGCGACACTGTCTCTGTCAGCCTGCGGAAGATTCCCTCCAATGGAATTCCATCCAATGCCAGAAAATTTTAAAATAAATTGATGCGCACACACATATGCCCACACAATCTTGTGCGAGCAAGAAACCACTGAACCATCTTTGGCACACGTGGGAACTTCTCAAGTTGCTGCGCCGAAAGCCTTTTGGTGTTGGTCTTCTTTTCAGCCTCGTTTTCTCCACCGCCCGACTTTCTCTTCGGCATGATGTGGGATCCTAAAAAATCCCACCAAAAATTTGATCGGAAAATGGGCTGAAGAAGTTCACAGTTGGCAAGAACGAAGCCTACATACAGCCGTTTGACATGTACCCCAAATCCACCTTCGAGGCAAGTTTTTGCAGACATTGCATGGCAACTTGTGCGCACAGATCACCTTAAACAGTCACACCACCACCCAGCACTTTTTTCTCATAGGCTTAGCGTAGCAATCTCCCTTCTCAGTCCTTGAAAGAAACTGTGTGCTTAAAGCACCATTCTCGAGGCAAATGACGATGCGAGTCTGAAGGCGAAACAGATGGTTCAAGATTCAGTTCTGAAGCAAACCATCTTGAAATCTCAAGATTCACCGGCTGATTGAGTGGCCAATCCGTCACTAACCCCACTAAGAAATCCGTCACTAACTCCACTAAGAAATCCGTCACTAAGTATGTCCACATTGCAACCAGTTTTGTAAAAGTCATTTGGCGGGGCCAGTTAGTGACTGATTAGAGGTAGGATCCGTCACTATCTCCACGAAGAAATCCGTCACTAAGTCCCCAACAAAACCCGTCACCAACTGTAGAATTGAATCCGTCACCAACCCATCATACATGAACACCCAAATCGGTCACTAACCCTGAACACCCAAAAAAGCAGAGTTAGTGACTGATTCCAGGTGGGATCCGTCACTAACTCCTATGCCTTGGCATGTGAGGAGTAACCTTTAGATTTTTTATTTTGTTGCATTGAGAGGTGAACCCAGCACTTAGTGACTGATTCCAACTGGGAACCGTCACTAACACCTTGAGAACCCCAAGGGCAAGTTAGTGACTGATCCTGGACCACTCTGATCCACGGCTGAGAGCCTAAAGCGAATTGCCGCACCCCAGGCCGAGCACGTTTAGGGTTTAGGGAGCCGACAAAACAAAACCTCAAGATCAAACTACTAAATTTCCGCAATCCAGAATGAACACGTGAAAAACAGCTCCTGAAAAGACACAGCTCTAATGGCGTGGGTGCCGGGCTCCCTTGCCTTTGCCTTTGCCCTTGGCTCTTGCGAAAGGCCTGGCAGCTGCATTTGCAGCCTGAACTGCATTGGTGGCTGCTTGGAGCGCTTCGCCCCAAGGAACCCCCAAAGCCCACGCGCGAGCTGCTGCTTGGTGAGTGATTCGTTTGCGAGCCTTTGCCACATAGAGGTTCACTGTTCGCTGGTCGTCCCTGTTGGCCCTCCCCAACCTTTGATGCAGAATTGAACAATTTTCTACGCAAAGCATCACACACACATGAAACTTATGATGATATCATGTTGTTGCCCAAGTAACCGAATCGGGTTCGGTGCGATGACAAAGGGATCAGCAGACACCACTGGCACACCCGAAGAAATGCTTTGGCGCGGTCCAGTAGTGATCATGCACCTCAATGTGTCTCAATGACCAAAGGCAAAACATCAAGAAGACAAAAACACATTATCAATTCCCTTTGAGTCTAGCGCGCAGAAACATCCAAAAGCGGTAAGGGTTGAAGGCGATCGTTCACCCAGTCTTCCAACCAATCTGCGGCCCTCTCAAGACCAAACAAAGGTGTGCGCAGCAATCGCAAGTACTTGGAAACGTCCTTCTTGAAGTCGTTCAGAACATCTCTCTTGTCCGCCAAAGCTACAGGGTAAAACAATGTGAAACGATATGTATTATATCTCTCTCTGTACCAAACAGCAAGGAAACCACTGAAAACACATGTCTTCATGAATGCAGGAAACGAGAAAACTGCACAGGACCTACGAGCAGGTGGAACAGCTGACCTGCAGGGATACCAACTGGTAGGCGCTCCAATGCCAACGCACGAGGGTACAAGTTCACAGTCTTGCTGTAAAAGCAGCTGGACATAAATTGCTTGGTCCTGCGGGCAACTATTTTGCACTGGCATACAACTCGTGCTTGGTCACAAAAACTTGAACAAGAGTCCAGTGGCTGTGGTAAAAACTTTGGATTCACCAACTGTCGTCCAGCGCTCTCCCGTGTTTGCGCCATGAGTGAGGGGCCCAATGTGGGTGCAAATTGGCAACTCAAATACCGGCTCAAATACCTTGGTAAGATTCATTCAATGCACCCTGCGAACCTCAAAATGACATCGTCTGGATCTTCCCGATAGCTCCAGAGTAGATTCTCAATCTCGTTGCTCTGCAAACCTGCGCGGCTGGGCACTGGCTATGGCTTTGATCTTTGAAGAGCTTTGTCTGAAAAAAAACGCCTGTGTTGCATCGACGTTCCAGTTTGAAGTAGTGAGGTGCGCCGCTACCGCCGATTCCATGCAGGCGAAATGGAACCGCAGCAGCGTGGAATCCTGTCCTTAGAACAGGGTGGAAAGCATTAAACAGCCTTTCCCACATTGGGGAGGACGCTGCTGCTTCAAAAAACGTGAAAGCATTCACATATCAACGAAACACTATTGGTCAGTCTGAAAGTAAGCACTGCAAGGCATTTATGTTTAGAAAAAATGGATGGTTCCAGGGTTCCTTCACCCCTGCCCTGCAAACCTCATAAGTACAAAAAACAATGTTTTATGCGTGCGCCATTTGCCGGGGTCTTTTGTTTTGTGGGGGGCACCATCCAAGAGCGGAAAACACAATCCGAAGATCCAGTCTCTCACTGAATCCATCTGATAGACCAACCTCTCACCAGCGAATGGTAGCTTAGTGTTGGCAAGAAAACCTTGGATTGTCTCTACAACGTCGCTGGGGGTTTGCATTTGGCGGATGCGCAGCAAATACTTGGACAACAAGCCAAAAAGTTGATCCACATCTTCATGCGTATGTCCGCTCCTTAGGTATTGGCATGTAATGGATTTGACATTTTTGCTGGATACCTGTGCGCATGCCCGCCGCAAACCACTGTTGTTTTTAAACTCGCGGCACGTATTGTCGTGCTGCAGCACGACGTCTGTGCTTGCCAAAGGAATTCCCATGGCCTGAATCTTTGTGAACGCTGCAGACAGCATTTCCACGCTCGTGCTAGCGTCTTTCTTCGTGTTTGGAAGGCTGACCAGGAACATGATAAATTTTCCGTGGCATATTACACATGCCACGTGAACCTTCACTTTCACCAGGGAGGCAAATTCTTTCCCTTTCAGAACGGGGTGTCGAGGTAGTTCCCACTTGCACTGATCCATCCCATCGCAGATGAGTGTTACCACACCGCACCCAGACCTTGACAACCCCCCGTGCTTCCCAATACAGGACTCTGTCCGCGTATTGGTTCTGTAAATGCTGGTGAAAGTAACGAAGTTGGGATTGTCTGGCAGTGAGGTGTCGGCCCAAGGATCTGATCATGGTACGATGGCGGATGCATGTGCTGCAAACTGCGTGTTGGTTCCGCTCTCTGAACCTCATGAAGCTGAATTCACCAAGCCATACCTCAACAAAAATGACAGGATGTTGGTTGCGCTTGCCACGCTGAAAGCATGTCCTTCGCTAACCTGATTGCGCACCAAGCATCCCGCCAAAAACATGGAAAGGATGCGGGCTTGCAATCATGTGTGACCAGCCGGTACTGTTCCCAGTATTCCTGCAAACTTCATTGCAACTGAGGCCCATCTACAAGCTGGTTCCTTCAAGATTTGACATGCAATGACTGCTGTGAAACCCTCACAGTCCTTCATCATGCCAGGTGGTAAGTATCTGACCTCCTTACCATCTGCAGCATCAGATGCCACCCTGTCTTGATTCAACAACACTCCTCGTTTCATCTTTCGCGGTTTGGCTTGCTTCACCTTTGCTTGCACAGGTCTAGAACCTGAATGATCTTTCACTGATTCTGCGTCTGCACGCTTGCCTAATTCAATCGCGTAGGGGTCAACCAAAAGACCCTGCGCTGTGACATCCTCGTCAGCATCTGTAGAATCACGGACATCGGGAAGTGTTTCGGCTACACTGTGATACAATGAGGTCAAATAGCTCACCACAGACGCTCGAACATTCACTTGGTCTTCACGAAGCGAATCTGAGTGCGGCTTGCTCAAGAAACGGGCATCAAATGGAGCGGCTTCCTCCCCTTTCTTCGCTGCACTCAGCAGCCGGTTGCACCGAGCGGAGCCTGAGTGAAGGAATCCTTCAGGTGAAAACCGAAAGGTCGGAAGCCCTGAACATGAAAGCGTGACTTTTGAACTACTTACTAAAGGACACCTGACTGAACAGCATTAGAGGGACCCATGTTGTGTAGAGTTTTGCATGCTCTTCGGCATGCCCGCACAGATCCGATCATCCACTTGATGGCCCCAGATTCATTCTCATCTTCTGCGGCTGCATCTCGAACCAGGAGCTTCATTTGGTCAAAGACCTGACTTGGTATCAACTGAGGAACTCACGGGGTCGGCGCCATAACCATCATCATATGTATATGTCATGTCATATGTCCTGTATTCATTCATTTGGTCAAGGAACATAATTGTCTTGGTCGAGCTTGCGCAATTCAAAATAGTGCTTTCTGTACTCCAAGAGGTCATTGGACTTTGTAGGTTCAATGAATTGCTGCAAACATGTTTTTTTCTTGCGCGGGCATTCTTTTCCCAACAGGGATCTCAAAAAGGTTTCACTGCTCTTGTCCACCGGCGGGCTGCGCTTCCTCTTGCGTCTACCAGCCGCCTCAACTGCCGCCTCCTCTACCCGGCTGGTCTCACTCTCAGATTCTGAAACACATGCGTGAAGAGGCATCCCAATCCAGAGGCAGCGGGCCAGCCATGCAAAGTTTGGGACTTACCACTAAAAGTGAAAAAGTGAAAGAAAGAATGAAGGAAAGTGAATCACTACCACTGCTGGGGGGCAACACAAAGAGTCTGTGAAAACAAAGAATCGAACAGAGTGTGATTGTAGGACATAGTTGTGTGATTGTGTGCATTGTTGTGTGCATTGTTGTGATCATCTCATTGCTACAAAGCCAGGCAACTAAGTTGAAGAGAGTGTTCTTCAACGTTTGCGTTTGTTCAGTTGCAAGCTTGAATTTCCATCAGCACTGTCTCGCAAAAACCATACGGTCACCACTTAGCACTCAGCGTTCCAAACATTTTTAGGAACCTCTGGGCATTGAATCGAAGGTCCACTGGTTGCCCTGATGTTGTTCACCAAACTGTTTGTTCAACGCTCTCCGCCGCGCTTACGAGGCTGCGCATCTTGATTTGTCTCTGGGAAACCTCGGATGAAATTAGATTGAAACAGTTGAAAGCAATGCTCTGTTCCAGAAAAAACTATAATATGCAACCTTATTATGGAAGCTCCAAAATGCAACCAGTGGCAAACAAAATGCAACCAATGGCAACCAAAATGCAACCAAAGGCAACCAAAATGCAACCAAATGGCAACCAACATGCAACCAAATTGTAACCAACATGCAACCAAATGGCAACCAACATGCAACCAAATGGCAACCAACATGCAATCAAATTGCAACCAGCATGCAACCACATGGCAACCAACATGCAACCAATGACAACCAAAATGCGACCGATGACAACCAAAATGCAACCAATGACAACCAAAAATGCAACCAATGACAACCAAAAGGCAACCAATGACAACCAAAATGCAACCAAATGACAACCCAAATGCAACCAAATGACAACCAAACTGCAACCAAAAAACGATGTAACAACGGTAAGTAAGCTTTCACTGCAGGTCCTTCCTAATAAAAGGGGGTCGGCGGCACCAGGGCGAAGCCCTTACAATTCCGGGCGCCGGCCACGGGCCCGTGTCCTTGCCGGAGGCCTTCGGTTGGTAACCGCAGGTTATACTTAGAAGGCGGTCGTACTTATAAGTATAAAATAACCAGGATATGTATAGATATTGTATAGTTAAAGTATGATAAGTATGGACGTAAGTACGATAAGTACAACAAAAGTTATCGCACTTATTCGATACTAATTCTGGAGTTAGAGTACATGCATGGAACTTGTACGTAAAGAATAAGTAGACGTATAAGTATAGACATAACAGATTTTGCGGACTTAGCGTACTTAGATTCTAGTTAAGAACGCTATGTTTTTAGCAGGGAGCCGCGCACCCGCAGGATTTTTAGGCTCAAAGAGCGGAGAATGGCGGAGAGGGCAGGCTTACAAGACTACACTCAATTGGCAGACTTCCTGCGATGGGGCTGTTGGGTCCGCTATAGGCGATTGGGGACATCAGACGCATGTCTCGCATTTGTCTCGCGCCGGAGGGCGGGGCAAAGACTCGGCATTGTCTCGCATATCTCGCGTTTGTCTCGCGCCAATGAGCGTAATCATCCGGCAGCCGCAAAACGTCTCTGGCGGGATAGTCGCGTGTTGTCTCGCCTTGTCTCGCGTTTGTCTCGCACCTGGCAGCAGAGGTTTGTTTTTTTGTTTAGGAGTGAATGCGCACCGCTGCAGCATTTTCCGGTTCCGCGGGTATAGAGCAGTGTGTACCCCCCTCTGCGCACCATGTCCTTCCTGCGTTTTGTTAAGTTTCGCGATACATGACCGGTTCTTCGAAAAACCTTGGTTCTACCAGGTTACAATTAGGTCAGACTTAGGTCGCGCTTGTTCTACTTAGGCATAAGTAGACTTAACCTAGTTATCATACTTATAAGTATAAGTACGATAAGTATACATATAAGTACAACGCCTTCTAAGTATGGGCTCGCGCCCCCTGCCGCCGACCCTTTTGTTGGACCTCCGGTATACCCCGTGTCGACCTCAGGTTAAATCCGGTCGACAGATTTTTATGTCATTTAAATTTTATCTACCAGCATGATTGTGCATGATGTGGAAAACATCGTTTTTTTACAGTGTTTCGTGGCCTTCGGCGGATACGACTTTCGCCTAACAGGGCGCCGGTGGTGTCGGTTATGCGTGCCGCGCGGACAGGCTTAATCGACATTTCGTGGGTGTTGGGCACATAAGTTGCCTAACATATCCCTAACATAGGCCCAAGATAGCCAACATATCCCCAACATATGCCCAACATAGCCTCCAAGATGGCTCAACATAGGGCCAACATAGGCCAACATGGGGCCAACATACGCCAACATAGGCCCAACATAGGCCCAACCTAGGCCAACATAGGCCTAACATAGGCCAACCTAGGCCCAACATAGGCTCAACTTGGGCCCAAGATGTGCCCAACATAGACCACATGGGCGCAACTTGGCCCAACCTAGGGCCAAGATGCGCACCAGATAGCTTAACTTTGCTCAATATAGGCCCCACCAAGTCTCAAAGAGAGAGAGAGAGAGAGACAGAGAGAGAGAGAGGGAGAGAGAGAGACAGAGAGAGAGAGAGAGAGAGAGAGAGAGAGGGAGAGAGACAGAGAGACAGAGAGAGAGCGGGGAAACAGCCCTGCACATACCCAAACCCAAATAGGCCGGCGCCCGGCTGTCAGGCGTAAGCCTCATAAATAACAGCAAGCCTTCTGCAGACACCACCAATCATCCCGCTCCCAGCGATGTGCCACGTTTATGCCAGCACGCGTCCCTTCCATCACTGGCGCGGATTCACGCAAACGCGCTTCCCATCGAGGCCGCGCAAAACCGCATGGCGCAGCGAACTTCCACCACTCAAAATCGCAATACCCCGCAGTTTTTTTGACACTTGACACGCATGATGTGTGGCTGGCGCGGACAATTTGAAACCACAATGTTCCCACGGCTATCGAAACTTGACACGCCTTTCGCCCGAAAAGGTTGGCGAGGAGAAGCTGAAATATTTTTTGGTATTGTTTATGCCCGCCGATTTTGACGCTTGACACGCATTTGGAAGGAAAAGGGGGCAGAGCCAGGAGAAGTCAGGGAAGATCAGAGACAGAGACATGGAATTACGCGGGCAAGGGCAGGACAGGCAGCGCAAAATAAAGAAATAGTGGAAAGGTAGAAGCAACCTGCAGAAGCATCAGAAATAGAAAGGACAAGGCAACAGCAGAAATCAATGAGGAACAAATACTTCCGCGGAGTATCGTGGAGTGATTAGGAACGCACTTGTTCAGTCACTTAGCCCTTACCACACTCGTGTTTGCAAGCTACGGGTTAAATCATGAATCATTTCTCTTGTGCCCCGTAAGTCTGTTCAAACTATATGAAGACTTGCAACAAGTACTGCGCAAGTTTTGATGAACAAATGACAACATTTGATTGGCGTACATGATTTTCAATTCTTCCGTAAGCAGCGGCGCGCAAGGAATTATTATGCCACTTCACCATAAACGCTGGAAAAGCCACTAGATTGGCGCTAGATTGCCTTACCCAGGAGTACGCTTGGTAGAAAGAATGCCTCTTTCTGATCTTTGATTGGTCTCAGGGGGCATGTGTTTATTGAAAAGATCCAACGCCACTAAGGGCGCTAGAATTCAATGAACTGGACGGGGCTTCATGCTGCAGAGATTTGCTAGCATGCAATGGTTTGGCTGGCTGGCTTGTTGCATGTAGAACATGTTGCGCTATGGATCCGCGCTACACTTTTTCGGCTTTCGAATCGACATCTCTACTAAGCACTGTCACCTACATGCAACCGGATGCTCCGTGGAAGACCTGTGACAATGCCTCGGCCAAGTCAAAGCGCCTGCGCCTTTCGGACTTGACGTCCAGGGCACATGCGATTACATAGTCCTCTTTCCCTGACAGCTTGTGCAGCTGGCTCTGTGGAACAGCTTGCCACTTTTTGCACTGACTACGCTCCTGCTTGCCGCGCTGTTGCAAACTTGACAAGAACAAGCGCTAGGAATCGGGCTCCGAGCAATGCAGATCACTATCACTATTCAGCTTCCCGATTACGGCTTTTTGTGCGTGTCAAACCCTGTTTCTAAGGGCTACACACTACTGACTCCATACTTTGTCCCACCAATGACACATTTTACAGGCAGGGGGACCATCCATGGGCTGTGTGCGATGATCCAACGAAGCGGCCACAGTACATGTCGTGGATATCACGGCTGGTCGCCATGACGTACCCGTATTCAACTTCCAAGGTCGTTGACGCACAAAAGGTTACATGTTGTTCTCGGCCATTTCGGAGGTTTGTTTCCTAGGTATGAGGTCTAAGCCGGTAATGCACTAAAATCAGTAAAGGGCTAACGCACTATAGAACATCGCTGAACTTATGCTCTTGCAAACAGAGCTTCTAAGTGTGCATCATGTAGTGCTTGTGCACGACCACGGCTTTTTCTCAGAACATGTCTGAAGATTGTGGCTTGCGTGTTTTGCTGTGGCGACTCTTTCTCTGCCAAACAGGCTTTGGGCACGCTTCTTCGTACGCAATCGTACGGGGTCCCAGTCTTCGCCAAAGGATGCTATTTTGTGAGTGACAGGGATGAGCAAATGAAGGCTCTACTGGGAGGGAGGAGCAAATGAAGGCTCTGAAGTGACAGGTGAACGCCTGTAATTACCTAGGGATGCTGCGTTCTTTCATGGGAAGGTGCATTGTTTCTGACTGTTCTGATTTTTTGCTCTTGTGACTCTTGTGTCAAATGTGTGTTGCTTCAGGTCTGAATTTGGTAAAGAGAGCCACCTGAACACATTGGTTGTGGGACGCATCTCTTCTTGGTATAAAGGTGGCAGCACTTCGGGCGGCTCAGGTGTCAACAAATGATTACACATGTACTGTACATGAAGCGCAGCGCACTTTGAACAGATTGGCATGCTTTGAGGGGTATAGACGAACGTAGACATATTTTCCCCTGCAATAGTGTATGGTGGCGTTGGTTCCTCAGAG